ATCCTTCGATATTTTCTTTAGGTATTTTGTGGGAATGATGATAAGATCAAAGTAAAAATGTTTTTTTTTAATAAAATAAAATAGATTAATTATTTGTCTCTATTTATTTTTTCTTGACAAATTTGATTAAAAAATAAAAGGAATTAAAATGAATAAAAATTGGACGTGAAAATGTGCAAAAAATAAAATGAACGTGTTAAAATGATCTACACGGAATAAAGTTCCACAAAATAGATAGGTAAAAATTAAATTTTGCAGTAAAAAATGTCTGATTTAAAAAGCTCATGCTGATCAAAGAACGAACGTAAAAGAGATCGAAAATATTAAACGAGTACGTCAGGTTAAACTACGTGAACCGTAGGTTAATAAAATCGAAAGCTGCAAGTTCGATCTCAAAAATTTTCTCCTGCTAAATTCACGCACAATTGAGAATGGATTCAACTGACTGTCTCTAAAACTAAAATTTTAGTCTTGTCAACTTTTTAAGCATTATGCTAAAATAAATGTATATGCAGATGATGCAAACTCCATGATAAATGTATCGGTTAATTGATTTAGAAGAAAAATTAGGGAAATTTTGTAGTAGTCGCGCGAGTATAAAAATCAGAAGAAGCTTGCAAAAAGTTTTGCAAGCAAAATGAGTAAATAAATAGAAAAGAGGAACAATAATCCTTTTATAGAGGAGTTGGGGCTACAAATGTTTAAAAAATTTTCCGGCTTCCTCCCAAAAAAAGCTTTAAAAGAGCTTAACACACTTCTTACACATGTAAAAGCCTATATCGCTTAGCGTCTAAAAAATAAATGGTTAAAATTAAAGAGATTCATTTGAATAACACATACACTTCTCCTTAGTCTATTATTTCTAATTAACCCAAAACATGTTCATCTTCTTCAAGCCAAATTCGTTCATTGTCTGAGTTTTAAAATTGAAGTATTTTAGTCTATACGAATCCATGTTCATTGGATTTTATATTTTATATTTTTACGCAATACTTAATTGAAATATATATATATATATATATATATATATATATATATATATATATATATATATATATATATATATATATATATATATATATATATATATATATATATATATATATATATATATATATATATATATATATATATATATATATATATATATATATATATATTCCATATGAATTTCTTCTGATTTTATACGGTGGAGAATATTTAGAAAGAGGAAAATTATTCTTATGTTATGTATTTGAAACTTATTTATGTATGGTTAAAAAAGTATAATTTATTCATAAATTTTAAAGATCAGTTATGAGTGAAATGTAATGAATATGCAATTTAGGAACCCAATTTACATGCGGAAGAAAATGAACAAGTTTTAGGTTAATGAGAAATAATAGACTTAAGAGAATTGTATGTATTATTTAAAGGTATAATTAGTCATCAGGTCCCTTAAGTTAATTTTGTGTTCCGCTTTAGTCCTTTTATAAAAAAACGTTACAATTTGATCCTTTAGTATTAGTTATGTTAGCATTATTGGTCCCTTCCGTTAGTTTATATGAGAAACCGTTAATATTTCCTAACATTGCATGTCAACTATGTAATGACTCATCAAAAGGATTAAAAAACCATTATTTAAGGGTTTCACTTGTATCAAACATTCTTTTTCCTAGGTTTTCAAGCTGATTGTAGTCTCAATCCCATCGTTTGTCCTAGGTTTTCTTCTTGTTTGCGTTTGTATATGAGTTAAAATCAATATTGTGTTGAACTTTCATTTCATCTCTCTGGATCTTAAAGTTCTGTTTCTAGAGATTTAATCTTCTCCAATGTCAAAGTTGTTAAGCAGTGCTTCCATTAGAACAATTGGATCGCTTATTCGTAGAAACAAGAGGAACAAGTGTTATTGTTGAGATAAATATGTCCTTCATATTATGGTGACATGAACAGTTTCCTTCACTATCATACTTTTGGGGCAACTCATCACTGTCATATTCCTCAATGTCACTCAAACCTCTAAAGCTTTCCTTTGGAACCTCACCTTCATTCACATCATCAATTGAACCACCACCCTGTTTCTTCAACCTCATTTTGTTTCCTTGGTTTCCCAACCTTGGCTTTCCCCTTCCCTTTACCTTTTCCTTTGCCATTTCCCTTACCTTTTCCCTTCCCATTTCCTTTAACTTTTCCTTTGCCCTTCCCCTTTTATTTTTACCATCCTCTTTATCAACTGCAATTTCTTCACCAATTCCTATATCATTCTCATTAGAATCTTCAAAGTTCACATTCAAATTACTGTCATCTTCACTACCACCATGCACCATCTTTTTGGTTACATTCTAGTCCCTCATCTTCATCTTGGTTACAAATTAGTCCTTCGGCTACTGAGTTTTTTTTGAACACGTACCAAATAAGGTGTATTATCTAATATCAACTTCTTGATCACATACCATATAACCAGTGGTCCCTTCCAAAGTAATACATATTATTGCATCATCTTTTTATCAACACTAGCTCATTAATATTCATTGCATCATAATACTACAAACTCTCTATTTTAGGGTACCTAAATCTTTTAAACCACCTAGAACCTCAAAATAACTCTAGAAATCAAGGTCAACTTCCAAAACCTCCTCTAACCCCTTGTAACCTAATTTGTTAAACTTCACAAACACACCCCCATGATGGATAAGACACTCAAACCTATCAGTCATGACCTAATCACACCAAATAATGCATAAATGAGTCTTTGAAGAAGGAGAAAAAGATAAAGGTTTGCTTTTTAATATAGTAAACGCATAATCATACCTTAAACTAGAAATTAACAATGGTGAAAGTAGGTAAGTATCATCTTCTTCTTAGCTCCAAGTATCATCATCTTTGTCGCTCAAACTCTTCTTCTTCCTAGCTACAATTTCAGACAATGAGAGAGTAGAACAATGACCTAGGGTTCAAAACTAAAGAGTTTAGATAAAGTATTCTGCTTTTGTTGGTAGGTGAAGATGTCATAAATTATGTTTCTAAAGTTGGAAGATATTTCATAATTTAAATTAAAATAAGTTTATTAATAATTGCAAAAACAAAAACAATATGCCATGTCAATATTTTAAATATGCCACATGCGTTTTTTAAACATTTTCCAATAGAATTTAACAAAATGAAACTTGTAAGGCTGGCAGAAGTGTTTTAAGAGACTCAAGTGTAGCATCTTTAAATTAAGGGACTAAACAGAAAGAAACAATAAATTAAGTAAAGAGACTAAAAGATGAATTAAGTTTTATTTAAATTAATCTCTTTAATCTTAACCATTTATTTAGATCTAACGGCTGATAAGTATTCCTCTCATTCTCACATATAAAGGACATTCTCAATATATATATATATATATATATATATATATATATATATATATATATATATATATATATATATATATATATATATATATATATATATATATATATATATATATATATATATATATATATATATATATATATATATATATATATATATATATATATATATATATATATATATATATATATATATATATATATATATATATATATATGAATGACCATTATGAAATAAAATAAGAATAATAAAAATTATGAAAGTTAAGTAAATTGTTTTTTGTTTTACCAAAGCAAACTTATTGCATTTCATTCATAAAATCATGTTCAATACAAGGAGAAGCTGAATTAAACACTACATGTCTAGATCAAGAATTGACCATCCTAACAAGATAGTGTGCAACCACATTCACTTGAGACTTTACAAACTTCACCTCAAAGTTGTGATTAACATTTAACAAACATATAATAGATCTAATGATGTAGTGGAACTCGGATCCACCAATGAGATTGGAATGGATAGCTTGGACTAATCTTTGGGAGTCACTTTCAAAGATGACTTTTTCCATATGCAAGTCACTAGCTGCCTGGATTGATTCTTTTAGAGCCAAAGTTTTAGCCTCAATAACTAAAGGAGTACCCAGGTCACAAGTTACACCTGCAACACTGAAATTTCCAAGATTATCATGAGCACACCATCCTCCATTAGTAGTTTCTCAATGTTTATTAAAAGTCGTAGCCACATTGCATTTTAGCCACCATATAGGAGATGAATTCCAAGATATATGGTATTGTTGTCCACTATCATTACCGTGAGGATGTTGAGCCAAAAACCATTCATGCCACTTATGAAAAGCTAAACAGTCAAGTCTGGGGGGCTTCGTCTACTCCGTTATTCCAAATAAGGTCGTTCTTATTTTTCCAAATCTCATTTATCATAACAATAAATCTACCAGAAACCTTCCTATCCTCCTTACTACATATATCAAAGATAATAAACTTAGCATCATGAAAAGAATGTAAACGAGGATCCAGAATAGGGGACAAACATGTTGTCCTCCAACACTGAGAAGTCTCACTAAAACCAAAGAACAAGTGTCATTCATCTTCAAGACTATTCTCACATAGTTGACAAATTAGCGGACGAGATACATAATATTGTCGGAGTCTAATACGAATCAGTAAACAACCTCTACAAGTTTTCCACAGAAAATATTTAACTCTAGGTGGAGCTTTAATATTCCGGATACCATATCAATCCTCCTCTCTTCCCAATTAACAAAACTCTTACTTAATATATCTATTTTCAATGTTGTAACAAACATAGTATAACTGATTTCTAGTAATTTATTACTCCTAATGTAATTCTTAAACTAAAAAACAATATAAAATAATAGTGGGGCCAAAATCACATAAATATTCAAAAATCCAATCCAATTAAGAAAGAAAGAAAAAAAACTCACATCATATACATAATTTTTTGTTTGAAAATTATGATTTTTAATATAAAAAAATCAGTCATCTTTGTCACCTTTACTACTACAGTTACAGGTTTTTAAGGATCTGAATTGGAAGAGTGAACTTGGAGTGGTGGAAGTGCATGAAGTGAGAGTTTGGGAGTTCCGAGTCACGAAACTCAGGTTGAGATTTGAAAATTGCAAGATGTCTCATAAGTTATCTAATTCAACGGAGATGCTTCCGGTGTCAGATCCTCCGAGCGACGAAGACCGGGAGAGGCTTCTCCAAGGCGATGATAAGATCTTTAGAGGTTCTTCCATGTCTAAACGAGGATTTTTCGCTGCTATTTCTTACATGTCATGCGCTGGTTCGCTTCACTCTTCTGAATTCTTGTTCAATTTTGTTTTCAATTCACGTAACTGCATTTCATCGATTACTCAGTGTTTTCTGTTTTTGTTTTGCAGTGCTATTGGTGATGTTTAATAAGGCAGCTCTTTCGTCTTATAATTTTCCATCTGCAAATTTCATTGCACTTCTTCAGGTAAGGGTTTTTCTTTTTTCTTTTTTCTTTTTTCATACTCACATTTCATTATCATATTTTAATTATAGATTTTTGTGTGAGTTTGTATGCGCAAATAATAGATTTCCATTCTATTATTGGCATTAAAAGAATTATTTTAGTGTGTTTGGCTCTGCGTTGAGTTGATGAGAAATGATTCTGATTGAATTGATTTTGTAGGGTTGATTTTCTATGTTTGATGAGAATTGGGTATGAGGGAGTTGATTTTGGTTAAAAATGAGTTGAATGTAGAGCGATTGATGTTTGAGTACATTTATGTAAAAGTGAATTGAATCTAAAGTGATTAATGTTTAGATACATTTATGTAAAACTGAGTTGAACGACAAATTTAAGTGTAAAAGTCATGTTTAAGCTCAAAAGCTACAAATCCTAGCATCAGCTAAAATCAATTCTTAAAGCAAAATCAATTCTATTTTTGTGAAAACAAACATGTCAAAATCAATTTTACATCTATTGCTTTTGGCTCTTCCAAAATGAAAACTAAACATACACTTAAGAGGAAGCTATGCCATATGTGTCTTAAGATGAAGTGATAATAGTTATTTATGTTTCTCCTTTTACCGTATGGAGGTTGACTCTTCAATTGTTCCTAGTTTTCATTTTTTAAAGGTAATTTTAGTAGTTGATTTGTTAGAGGGGAGGGTAAAATGTTAGTGTAGCAGATATTAAACTTTGGACCTCCTGAATAGAACTCCTTCGGTGTCAAATTTTCAACCACACTTTCTATTATTGCAGATGGTATGTTCGTGTTGTTTTCTCTATGTATTGAGGTACAGGAGAATAATTTCTTTCACATCTAGTGAAGCAGAAATTATATCAGAAAACTCAAAAATATTTGTGCCATTGAAGACTTTGTGGCATACTTTTCCTATTGCAGGATCATATTTACTTTATATGGTATGTCCTTTCTTCCATTTTTAGGTTAAAGTCTCGATTGTGATTTATGTTCTATTATTTTACTTATTCCTGTGTTTTCCCTTGAAAGTTAGTCACCATGGAGTCTGTTCGTGGAGTAAATGTTCCAATGTATACCACCCTTAGGAGGACCACAGTAGTATTTACGATGCTTGTGGAGTATATGCTGGTGGGGCAAAGGTATACACGTTCTATAATTTTCAGGTAAGTTACTTTCTTTCCACTGCATGGTGTGACACAGATTCATATCTCGTTCAAATAAATCTTTGATGTGTCAATGCCTTGGTGAGTATCAATAGTGACAAGCCACGGGTTTGAAGAATTTTTCAACTTAGGAAGAAAAGAGAGGAAGGAAAGGGAAGTAAATAATCTGCTTAGGTATCAGTAGTTCGTTAATATATTCCAATAAAGGGGTTGGTTAGAATGGGAGAATGCATGCTTGAGTATTAGTTTATTCATTTCTGTTAGGGGACTCGCTGAGGGTAGGCAGGGAGAGAGATACTTCTCTTCTCTGAGAAGCACAGCTTTGGTTTTCTTTTTAATAAGCTTAGACTCTTCTGGTGATTAATCTATTCATTTTCACTCTGCTCTATCAATGAGCATCTCCCTGATTCCTTCATTTAACTGAAATTTGTAAGGTTGTTATCAGTGTTGGCTTGATTGTCTTTGGTGCATTTATCGCTGGAGCGCAGGATTTATCTTTTGATGCCTACGGTTATGCCATTGTTTTCCTGTCAAACATCAGTACAGCTATATATCTTGCAACGTTAGCCCGTGCTGGTTGTATTATAATCTCTCTCTTTCTCTCACGCACACACACATAAAAACACTTTTAACATTTAAAATTATTTCCCCTTGTAATTAGCCTGCTGTTTCTCAATAGTAAATGCCTTTTTCTCAGGAAAAACTAGTGGCCTTAATAGCTTTGGTCTTATGTGGTGCAATGGTAAGCCAACAGATTGTGTCAAAATAGTCTAGTAAAGTTTCAAAAATGTTTTTTGGATGAATGAATGTGCAGATTTTTAGCTATTTCTGATGGCAAACAATTTCTCTGTTGTGTCATAGGTATCATATCCGGGCCTCTTTTGTTTATTTGGACATTATTTCGGGGTGACTTGACGATGACTATTAATTTTCCTCATCTTCTTTCAATTGGTTTTATTGTATGTTCTGCTTGAGCTTTTCTCCTTTTACCAAGTAGTAGTAATTATTTTTGGATTTTTGCCGAAAGAATTTTTATTTAGTGCTTGGGCTGTAAACTAGTAGTCTAGGAGTCTTTCTGCTCTAAGTCATATAAGAGTAAAACTCCCCTCCCCTTTTTTCACTTTACCAGCCCCGGATGTGTCTAATCTGTTGAAATTTTGATGGAAATTTGCATGTGTAAGAATGTTTCGGAAAATTTAGCACATTTTAAAACCACATGACCACAGTATAAATGGGCCAAACTAAATGAGATATGTCATAGCCAGAATATTAATATTTGCTTCAGACTCTATTAATTAACAAGTAGTAATCCATTTTTTTATCATGATTTTTATTTATATAAAACACATAAAAATTTAATCAAGTTCCTAGTATATATAATATATGTTGATCTAGTAGGCTCTATCCCGTTTCAAACCAGTTAAAAAAAACTTAAATCAGTTTTCTATCATTGAAGAGTTGTAGACATTTTTGCAAAGATCTAAGTCTTGGTTATGAGGAAAAACTACCTTTTTCTATATCAATCTGCATAAAATTTTAAATTCAGTTCCTTCTTAATTTTGGTATCTTGACAAGTTTGTAATTTTTGTGGAGACAGGTTGTTTTGCTTTTATCCTGCATTCTCGCTTTCTTCCTGAACTACAGTATCTTCCTGAACACAACTTTGAATTCAGCTCTGACACAAACAATTTGTGGTAATATGAAGGTTTGTTCACTTGCAAATTGTTTTTCCTTAAATGTATGATGCGCCTATTATTCCAGGTTGGCATAGATGATGTGCCTTTTCTTTCAAAGTGTTATCATAGTAGTTAAATGGAGTGGGGACAAGGGAGAACGATGAGGTACACTACTTAACCGATCAGACTATGATCATTCCGGTGGACTTTTATGGGGGTATTTAAATAAAGCAACAGTATCACTAAACACTTTCAGGAATGAAAAGTGTAGAATTTGGTATGAAGTGCAGAAGAGTCGTTTTTGATTGATGAGACTTATCTATGCAATTGCTACATTGGAATTCTTTGATATCTATTAATTAGGACCCAGTTCTAAGCTGGTTTTAATCCCATGAATAATGTATCCTTCCGTATGATGCCATGGATATAGAATCCAATGTGAACTTATTCTGTATGAAAGTGCTTTTTATTTTTCGCTTCATATAATTCTACAAACGTATCCTTTTTGTGTAAATTGATGATTGTATGAGATTTTTTCGTGTGGACTCAAATATTCCGAATTGGTGTCTAGGATCTATTTACTATTGGCTTTGGCTGGATAATTTTTGGTGGGCTACCATTTGATTTTGTAAGTGCTCTTGCCCTGTCTGTCTTTTACTTATCACTTGAGTGTATTGATAGAATCTCTGGTCTTTTGGTTGCAGTGGAATGTTATTGGACAATCTCTCGGATTTGCGGGTTCTGGTTTATATGCCTACTATAAACTCATTGGCAAATAGCTTGTCAAGTTCTTCAATTGGCGTTTATGAATTTAGGAACATCATTTGCTTCAGTTATCTGATCTTACTACATCCTAAAAAGCAGAATCTGAGTCGACCTTAGATCTGTCGAACTTGTGATTGAGCTAATCTAACTTATTGGATTTTGCCAAGTGAGAAAGGGACATGAGCTAAAATTACCAGGGATTGGGACAATCTTTGCTGTGTTGGCTTCAGTGTGTTCAAACTATTTTTCACCTAACAATTAATTCACCCAGTGCTTTTGATGAATCAGTTGCACCACTCTCTCCTCATTTCTGAATTTATTAGGAATCTCCATGTATCTATTTTTTTTTTGAAGTCCAGTATTAGGATCAAACATTCCTTATATACTTTGTGCTGGTACTTGAGGTAATGCTCTCAACCTATATACTTGTTCATTTTATGTCTCATATACAATACAATGCAATTGAGCACGAGATCTTAAACAAGATTGATCGGTTTGTGAAATTTTGTAAAACTCATATCGTTAGCACAATATTGTAAAACTTAGATTGTTAGCGCCCGAAGGAGAAAATGGTAATTATATATATATATATATATATATATATATATATATATATATATATATATATATATATATATATATATATATATATATATATATATATATGAACATGAAAAATTATAATATTGGCAAAAATAAAGCCTCAGCACATTTTTTTCCAATCTTGCTTCAAAAAGCTCGATCTTGATCACACTGGCGATGCAATGGATCTTTTTCTGATTGTAGTATCACTTGCGCATCTTTAGCATGTAAGATCTTACGATTCAATGTTGATTACACTATGTATACTATGAAAAGTAACTAGTAAAAGAGGAAAAATGCTCAATTTAATTGCTGGAGTTTCTGAAAACAAATTTTTATTAGCAATATACAAAATTTTATCTCAGCTTGTTCCAACATATAAACAGAGCACACTTTCGAAAGAAAAAGAAATATCCAAAATTCCAAATAGAAAATATATTTTACACCGAACTTATATATAATATTAATTTTTTTTAAAGAGATACTTATTCTTTTACATGATCGATATTTACTTTTTTCTATTTTAAAAATCCATTAAAAACAAGCGGCAAGGAAAGGGAAAGAGGCGGTTATAAACGTAACCGTCATCAACGTCTACGAAACAAACCGTATTAACGTCTTTGCGAAACGCGAATTCAGAAAACTTCCATTTGCAGAATGATTCGCTTCTTCTTCTCCTTCTTCTTCCCTGAACGCAACTGAGATCATGAACGAATCGATTGTATCCAACGAAAGCCCTCGGCGATCTCTGAGCATTCAACTTTCTTCTCTGATGATCGTCGATGACAGTTTATCCTACGGCAGACTTCCTTCTCAAAATCTCACCCTCTCCATCCTCAAACTCGATTCATCTTCATTCCGTAAATTACTAATCTCTCTCTTTTTTTCTGACTCTTGTTTCGAATGGATTTCTTCGATCTTGAATTGATTTGAAGGATTTTAACTGTTTCAGAAGTTGAAGTTGCTAAAACAGCAACTGTTGCAGAACTCAAGGATGCGGTAGAGGCAGTCTTTAGACCGGAAAAAATATCGTGGTGCGTTTGTTAATTTCAACGATTTTGATTTTTAGAAAGTTTGTGGTTGTTAGGGTTCATAATCTTGTGTTACTACAAGATGGAGAAAGCTAGTATTACGATTAGACTGTGTTGCATTGTTTCAATTTTTAGTTCAATTCGGATTCACATTACGATTTTGATTTTGATTATTATCATTATTATTATGTTTCTAGTTACTGAATTAGTAATAATCTGTTAATTATTAAATGGCTGAGTTATCTTTTTTTCATTTTTCCTTGGTTGGATTTGTAGGCCACTTGTTTGGGGACAATTTTGTTTATGCTATGAAGCACAGAAGTTAGTTACAGAAACGGATTATCTTAGAGAATATGGTATAAAGGACGGTGATCAGGTTAGTGATTATGGCGTCGAACATCCTAATTAAATTTCTCCATCCCATGTTGTTCTGAAATCGTTCTATCTTTATAGTTTCCAAATAAATGGTTAATGTACTAGTCTAATAGTGTCTTAGAAAGGAATGCTGATCACGATTATTCGAATCATGTGATTTTGATGTGGCTATAATATAGTCGACCTTATATAACAAAAGGATGATGATTAATTTTGCATCGATTGTTTACTTTGGTTTGATTAATTAATTCAGTTCTTATAGTTATAAGTCCACTAGTTGTTGGTATTGATGATTATATATTGTTGTGGCTAACTTTTTAGGAATTTTAGTTTGAGAGATAAAAAAAAAAAGCAATTAGTCATGCCTGATTCAGATCATGTATACACATTGTTGAGAATTAGGCCTTAAGTAGGGATAACATAGTTTGATTTTCATCGGAATGTGTTTTACTAATTTGAAGTCCATTGGCCATGGCTTGTGATAATTATTTTGTTTTGGTTTGTTTCTGTGGTGCGCAGCTTCATTTTGTTCGCCATATATCCAACGTCTGTAGTATTCAAAGGAAATCGAAGAAACGAATTGTCAATTTGAACCAACACGGGAGGTATGAAGTTTTAAATCTAATTATGCCAAATATTCAGGTTTCGCACTACTCTGTTTACCGCATAGAAAATCGGCTCCGTCCAGTTATATAATATCTTGCAATTGGGAAAAGTCTTGAAATTATTGTAAATAAGATAACAAAGCTGTAGAAATATTCAAATTAGCGTCCAGGTCGCAGAATTGTAGTGCTGCCTTCAAAGTGATTTTGTTTGACGTTAAGGATATGGTAAGTTGGTACCTCTACTAGTATGGTAGAAACGTTGATGTTTAATATCATAGGAATGTACTTTAGTCGGGTTTATTCGTGTATGTTGCTATAATATTGTATCAATCTAATGCTTACACTATCCGGATGGAAGGTGCAGATCATCGTCACAAGTGAATAAATTCCAACAGAAAGAAAATGGTGATGTGAACAACATTAGTTTAGATAGTATAGTCATAGAGAATGGGAAGGTTCAGAATCGCAATAAATGCCAACAGAAAGAAAATGGTGATGTGAACAACATTAGTTTAGATAGTATAGTCATAGAGAATGAGAAGGTTCAGAATCGCAACGCAGAAGATAATCGCCTGGGAATGGGCAAGTTAACTGGATATTTGGGAGGTATGTTCTCTGAGGCCCGGATGGCTGTTGTTAGAAGAGCTAGAAAGGAAGGTGGGATTTCCAGAGGCATAGTAAGCAGTTTTAGGAAAGTTAAAGGGATTGTAGGTCAATGCAGAAAGCCACATAAAAGGAACACATGGAAAGAGTTTTCAAGTTGATGATTTTATTCTCTAGTCAATGCAGCATTGTTATGCGATATTATTCTGCCACAAATACTTTGCCTCATTGTAACTGTCATATTACAGTACAGTTTATTCTTTTTCATGTACATATAAGAATAAGAATTGATTTTGTCTTCAAAAGCTATGCAAAGATTTGTTTGGTTTAATATGAAACTTCATACCAAACTTATTTTGAGTGTAAAATTTACACTAGGGATTGGATGTAGGTAAAAAATTAGTTTACACTAGTAAATGAAGATTTAATTTAATAAAAACGAGTTTAATTTAAGATTTAAAGAATATACAATGTTAATGGAGAATAGTTGTATAGTGAACCAATAAAAATCTATTAATTTGTCACACTATTTCACTTATGTGACAGATGCCGAATTCACCTAAATTAATAAAATAGAGCTAAGACCCTCTTTGTCTCTTTGTACTAAAAGTGTAACAATTGACCAACTTAAAAATTTAACCAAATGAAACAAGAAAATTGAAAGAGTTGGGAGAGTTAATTTTGATAATAAAATCACAGAAAATAAAAATAAAAAGTGTTATTTAAAAACAACTAAACTAAGGTATAGAGTATACAAATGAACATTTATATGTTAATTGCATTAATCTTGTTTTGAATTGCAACAAGACCCTCACCACAATTCACAAATTCTAGAGTGAAGATTAGTCAAGGTAATTTAGTTAAACAACCATCCAATCAACATTAAAATTTTAAATTCAACCGAATTGGATGTAATTATCAAACACCTTCAATACAACATTTACTTTATGTTTTCTCTTCCTATACTTTGATAAATAAATGAAGTCACTAACACAATCATTCAAAAATCAAACAAAATTATAATTAAGAATTTAAGAGAAGAATAAAGTGTATTTGTTGTGAATACAATAAATAATATCGTAATTGCAATACGTAAATCAAAAGAGTTTTAGATTCTAATACGTATGAATTTGACCTAACTATTGCTAGATATTTATTAATATAGCCATTTAATAGAGAGATTAGTTCTAATGCCAACAAACTTGGCTACATGTCCCTCAACTTTGACTCAATAGTAGAGTGAATGACATGAATCATCTTTTTTAGGAGGTGCAGGTAACTCATTTGACTCTGAATATTAAAGTTATTGATTAAGATAATCATGTTCCTACTTAAAACATGGGTTGACATGTTACTCCTATGAGATAGACATAGTAGGAGTTGTGACAAGTTTGACCACATGTATGTCACGTGATCTCGCTCTTCCTTATTTAAATATTCATTGTGTTGCTTACGAGGTAGAGAGCTTTTGGACAGAGAACTTTGACCTTTGACAGACTTATTTTATGATATTATGGTTGAGCTTGATTTATGACATTCTAGTATACGGTCTCTCAAACACAAGATATGTAAAGGAGAAGTAGGAAACTAAAGACATTTAAGTCCACAGTCTCTCAAATATGAGGTCTATAAGAGAGAAGTGGCTAAGTTAATATATTTAAGTCCATAATCCTTGAAGTATAAGGCATGTACTAGTAAAGTAGTTAAACAAAAGAGTGTTTTCGGTGTCGTTGAGTGGCCTTTTAATTGGTGTAAGTATTTGGGTTCAAATTTTGATTTGGCTACAGATTAACAGTTAAGCTCTAGGATTAAGAGTGTAATTAATGCAACAAAATGATTTAAAATGTCTTGTAAACGATAAACCAATCAGAACCGTTTGCTTGTTTGTATGTGTGTGATCAGGGCCCTCGCGTGCTATCACAACTATGATGAATATTTTCATATTGACTATACTCGGTCCAGAGAGAAAATGGAATTCATAAATCAAACTAAATAGAAATTTTTTTATAAATCAAACTTCATTAATGTCTACACACAACAATTGTTTAAGGTTTAGCTCTCCACTAAGATGAGAGAATTCATGGATAACAAATATCACAAAAGAAAAAGATTTAAAGATAAACAAGAAAATAAATTAAAACTCTAATTATTTTCCTCCTCCCTCTCAGTGCATCAATTATGATCTTCTTTCATATCACTTTAAAGTCACTTGTCCATTTTTCATTTATCTAGAATGTGCCCTTCTAAGTAAGCTTTTCAACAAAGTAATATAAGTTATAAAGTTATGGACAATTATATGATACCATTATATGATAACGTAACTTTTTCTCTATCTCACAACAAATATATAAGGTGAGTTTGTTCTTTTTTTTTTATTAAAAATGATTTTTATAGTGTAACATAATTTTGTAAAAAAAAAATTTATAAAAAAATTCTTTATAAAAATTTGGTTTGAATAGTTATTTTTAAATATTATTTCAAATATTTTATTATTTTATCGAAACCTTTTTTAAATATTATATTTTTTTTATAAAAAAAATCACTTAATTTTAAAACTATTTCAAATAGCTTTTCATAGAAATTATTTTTAAAATACAACTTTTTGAAAAAATTGTAATTTTGACTATGTTTTGATCTTCAATAATGTATATTAATCTTATATATAATGTCAAAATTAATCTTTTAATTTATAATAAACAAATTTTAAAAAAATTGTAATATTTTGAAAAACATTCTTGTAGAATCCATTTTCAAAAATATAAAAAAAATATCTATTTTTTAAAAAGTAAAATAAACTGACCCATAATCATCCAATAATTATTAGTCGTTGTATTTCCTAAATGAATCACTTGATTGATCAATGCTACAACAAATTAATTTTTCTATGGAAGGAGTTAATAAGTATCCTTCACATAATCAACAAACAAACAACAATCATCATATATTTGCTTAAATTTTTCCAATTGATGTTGATACTCTACCTCATCAATCGACCATACAACATTTCTCTAAAGTGTGATCACCGACTCTTACATATCAATCATGACATTATTTTCATTTTGTACCAACATTTGTTTTGAGAAAATCAACAAAGAAAATTAATAGTATATGAAAAATATCAGGAGAAATCAACTTTTCTTTAATTTTGATTAATTCTTCTAACTTTTCTTTGGACACTTTATATCTTAAAACAATTTGAGCTAATTCATTAGCTTTTTGGTTCTCCAGTCGAGGCATATGTTAGATGTTGACCTAATCAAATCTTCTTAATAATTGACGAACGATATTATAAGTGTATTTAAGAATCAATTTCACTATTGAGTTATACCTAGTTTCTACATCATTTAACATTTGACTAAGGTAATAAATGGCTTTTTAGACACCATTATCATCCTCTTTCGCTAACATACTATCTATTGTTGAATCAAATGCAAAAATGTACAACTTCATGACTTTATCTCTCACGAGAGGAAGTAAAATGGGAGGTTTCGACGGGTACACCTTGATTTCATCAAAAGTCTTTTGATGTCCTGGTTCCCATTTGAATCATTCTTCTTTCTTCAATCATAGCAACAAAGAAAAAACCTTTATCTTACCACTTAGGTTTGAAATGAAACTTGTAACACCCCAAATTTCGCTGAGAATATTTATTTAATTTATTTAAATAGAATATTCGTGTTTTGGATGATTTCAGTGGTTTTGTAAATTACGGAGAATATAATGAAATTTGAGTTATTTATTTTGGAATAATAGTATATAATATGAATATATTATTATTATTATTATTATTATTATTATTATTAATTAAAATAAATATAAGTTGAATACGAACAGTTGGGCATTAAGAGGAAGTAGTAAGGGTGTTATGGGAAAAGTCCAATTGTATGGCTCAAGACTAGGTTTGACAAAAAGGAATTTTGAAGGGAATTAGGATCCATTTTGTTAACCGTGAAAAGTATTGAGGTTAAATCTCTGAGGAAAAGATTGGAGGCAGAAGCTTCGAGAGATTCCCTGAAAGATTTGTGAAGGCTTTGATCGACGATTAAGGTATGGGGAGTATAACCATTCATAATTTTCCATGTGTGACTTTTAGTATATTTAAGGGTTTAAGAGTTTTGAGGCGAATAATGAGAAAAGGAGATTTTTGGCCTTCGTGGCCTAAATCAATTATTAAGGATTTTAACCGTAGAGATTTATTTGGGAAAAAGGGAAACTAGGCTTTCATGGCCAAACACTATGATTTGACATTGGTCTAACCCTGTAGGGAAATTTGATAGTGAGAACCCTGATGATTGTAATATAGTGGTAAGTATTCCTGACTGTTAGAGTATAGATATGAGAAATAGTGATATTTGGCCTTCGGGCCTAAACCTGTTAGTGTGAACTTAACCGTGGAATCCTTGGGGAAAAAGGAAAGGTAGGCTTTTGTGGCCAGAACCTTGAATTGTTATATCTCTGACCCTGAAGGGATAATAATATTTGATAGTGAGCAACTCTGATTCCTTAGGGTGTAATTGAAGGAAAAATTGTGATTTTAGGGCGTGGATGCGTTACGGGATTGGCCTAGTAAACCGTAGGTTTTGTGCCTTTATCGCTGTAAGACCTTATGGATGATTTAGAGATGTTTTGGGACATTAGGGGAGTGAATCGTGTGGACTTTTGGTTTGATTTAGGTTCCGAAGCGTAACAACGTTTTGCTGTCCGTCAAGACTGTTCATGTTTTTGGTCGAAATCGTTTTAGACGTAACTTTTGATCCGTAAGTCCGTTATGGTCCCCGTTCGAAGCGTTGGAAAGCTAATGAACATGGATATAACATTGTATAGATAAGGGAATTTGTTTCCCAATATTTTTATATCTAATTATGTTGAGAAGTCAATTATATATATGTTCTATTAATGAATCATGTTCTGGTTCAGTGATGTCTTGATGTTTTAATGCTGCGATTTTCCTGATGAATTACCATGAGGGTAACTGTGATAATATGGGATAATATGATGAATTAACATGAGTATGACTGTGAATGCTATGTGATTTGTATATGATTATATGATGATTTCTATGATGTATGATGATGATTATTATGATAATATGATGACATGATGTATAATGATGATGATTATGATAAGCTTTGATGACATGATGTGTGATGATGATTATGAT